TGATTCCAATTAACGCGTGCGCATCCAAGACAAGAGAAATTAATTTTGCACATTAAAGAGAGCACGCCACGTACTATCTAGTGGCTTTCCCTCCTGATCTATAGTATTGTGCTTCTCGATTTTAATTGACTCTCTCATTTTGCGAGAGAACTTTCAACTTATGCATGACTATCAATTGCCAAAATGGTTGCTTCGTGCCATTTTATATACGATGGTCGTAAGTCCAAGTGCAGTATGTTTAGCCACAGCAGATTTATCTTGCTCGGCTTTCTCGCAATTCGTCTTGTGTTCCTTAAGACGTACTGAGAGATTTCGGCCAGTTTCACCAATGTAAACCAGATTTAATTTAATTAATGATATAAGAATATCGAATATATTGTGGTCAATTAAGTGATATAAGAATATCGGATATATTGCGGTGCCCAAACTTTGGGCACCGCATTATATTTTGCCTGTGAGTTTGTCCGTTTGTTTGACGTTTCCTTAATTAATCGCCTAGTAAAAATTCCTTGCACGTGCTCGAAATTTATTCATTTTTGCAGGAAAATTAATTTATCTTGTACTCTCGGGATCGACTGTTTGCTAGGCTTTATCTCCAGTTTTATGGGCCAAACAATACCACTGTTTGAATCAGCGTGGAAAGTTGTATTTATGGATGGAAAATTGATTTCAAAATTGATCATTTCTATTCTAGCGATTTATGGCCTTTTAAAGACAAGCCAAGCCGCTCAAAATAATCCTTCACGTTTTCCGAATTCCTTTTTTCGAGGAAAGTTTTCTTTTCTATTTTTAATCTCGGACTCTCACGATAGACTTTTTGCTACGCCTTATCTCTGGTTTTATGCGTCCAATAAGGACAAATATATCACCATTCGATTCAGCGTAAGAAATTGTACTTATGGATGTCAAATGTGTTACTAAACAACAGAATTCTATCGATTTATGGCCTTTGAAAGTCAAGCGAGATTGCATTACATGTCGACAAACGCTCAAAATTACTAAACTAATTAAAAATGCAGTACGTTCGATTCTTGATAACTTTCGTATCGTTGGTTTTCTCGTTTTCGGCCGTATACCAGTGGATTCATCTCATTTTCCCTTCATTTTGATAGTATTTTGAGCCCAAACTATTTTATTTTGACGGTTTTAAAGTGCAGTTTTAATCAGCGAAATAGGGGGCGGTATTGTTGACAAATCGCTCAAAATTATTAAACTAACTAAAAATGCAGTACGTTTGACCCTTGATAGTTGATAACTTTGGTATCGTTGGTTTTCTATTTTCGGTCACATACCAGTATATTCATCTCACTTTTCTCTTCATTTTGATAGTATTTTGAACCCAAAATATTATATTTTGAAGGTTTTAAAGCGCAGTTTTGATCCTAATGTGTATGGACCAACTGGCGGCCGGCAGGAAAATGTAGCATACTAAATATAACTTTACTTGTAGGCGAAAACGCCGGAAGTTTTAGTTGTAGGCGGGCACCGCATTAGTTTTGTGTCTGGTTTGTATATATAAATCTAACAAGTTTTTATCCGAACTAGAACTTCATGAGTAAAAAAATGGAATTGCTGTTTTGAAATTCTATTTTGGTAAAATATTAAGCTTGCATAATAAACAGTCAAGCGGTATTTTGCACGAACAATAAAACATTTCAGCTAGCAAAGCCGCCGGCACCATTTAGTAATAAATTTCTTGAACTTTAAATTTGAAAATAAGAAAATCAAATTTAAATGCTTTAAATCCGAATGCAATAAAATTGAAGCAAATATAAACAGTCTTTCATTACAGTTTATATTTACCGCCTAATTAAATAAATAAATGTAATTTTGCATCAAAAACACAGAAAGCCCGAGGTTGTTGTGCAGAATTTAAATAAAAAGCGCAAAATGTTTTTGTCAATCCTTTTTATACATCCTTTGATTAGTAGATTGGTATAGAAGCTTTTGGTTTTCAGTGCTGGACTTAGGAGATCAAAGCTATTTTCTGAGGGTCAGTTTGTCGTTATTTTAAGAAAGCCGTAAAACGAGTATCATTGCGTATTTTTTTGTTCCCCGCATTTCTTTCAACATTCAAAATTTCGCTTGAATTTTGCACTTGAATGAATGAACAAGACTGAGAAAAAAGATATTGGTGCAGAGTTCTATATTCCGTGAGCTGTATAATGTTTTAAATATGTGTAATTTTCAGTTGACGAAAAGTGCAAATTCAGCATAGACGGTCGCCTGGAACTAAAGCGCTGTAAAAAAATTATTTTTATGAAAATCGAAAAACCAAAGTCAGTTTCATAACTCACTGGTATGTGCTATTTCACGGTAAAAGTTTGGGAGAAAACTATTTCCTGATCCGAAATGCAGTGGACCGCTTTTACAGAGACTGCCTCTTAATAGCTAAAGGTAGTTTAGTTTTATAAAGAACACTTTGGAACGTTTTGTGAATTGTTTGTGGTTGAATTTTACCTTAAATTGAAGCTTGTATTACGTATAATTATACATACCTAACATATATATGTTGGGAAATTGATAATTTTGTAATTAAAAGTGATATTTTTGGGCGATTTTCATTTGTAAGAATGTTCTTAAAAAATTATCGTGTTACCATGACAACTACTTCATGTTCGGAAAATACAATGGTTTTGTCAGCAAGGCGAGGGTTTCTGCATGCATGTATTTTCTAGTTATAAATTATAATATCGGGCACACACAGTTAATTTTACGCAGAGAGACATATGGGGGTCCAAACAGAAGTATAACTTTGTGGCTTGTGAATTAATAAAATGCATTGCTTGACAGCTTTATGTTAACTTCAGTAAACTGATTATTTGGTGGTTCGATGGCGTAAAGTCATTAGAGCAAGCACCTTTTGGGGTTTTGCCTCTGAGATCGTAGGTGAAAAGAGTCCATTACGCTTTACTAATAAATAGTCGCCGGGTTTCTTCGGGTGCTTAGTTTCTTTTCACAGGAAATGTTGACAGGGTGAGTTTGGATTATTCCCAAACTATCATAGCTGCATGTGCTCCGATTCCTACCGCCTTAGATATATTTCCTGTTCTTAATTACAAATGTCGAAATGAAAACAAAAATAGTAATAGTCAGTACACGCGCGTGCACTCAAAAGGTATATAAAATGTCTACGCGTGGGTGTGGTCCAACAGGAAAAACGAAATCCTCATTTTTTGTTGTCAAAAATTTAAGTCACTGCGTATGTATTTTTCTAGCGTTTCCTTCGGTGAATTGTTTTAAACTTTATATACTTAACGTATGTGTGTGTGCAAAAAATAAAAACGTTTTACTGAATGAAATTTTAAATATCTAGGAACGAATGCAAAAAAATACACTTTTTTCATAATCCTCAGCAACCTCGTCCCCAGGCTCTTTGAATCCTCAGTATTAAAGCAATGACAAAGTTGTGGCGATCATATCTTGCAAAATGAGGAAATAATGGCTTCAACGTTCATTTGTGCGCTATAATGTCAAAACTGTAGGGAGTAACTGTAAAAATCCTAACGCTATTCCTCACTATATGTGTGGCGGAGTCGCAGACTAAATAAATTATTATTCATAATTCGAATATCGTTTATTAACATGGATGTGGTTTTAGGATCCAGTGGCACTTACAGATCAAGCTCGAGCAACTACATCTTTTCCCTCCGCAACAAGGTTGGCTTGAGTTCTTTTAGATCAGCAGTTTATCGAAATAGCCAGTATGCAATTAAAACGCATCCAGGATATGGACCAACCTTTGGAGGTGGACATGACCTATACATCGCAAACAATGCCGACAAGAACAGATACTCGTATACAAATTTTGGTTACACATATCGTCCTCCATCCGGCTACAGCTATGGCAACAGTAATACCCAAGCACTTTTGGCTGGCACTTACAAGTTTTCACCAACCGAGATTGAAGTTTATTATTATGTGTAACATTCAGCAAAACAGCTATATACTTAGTTGTTATCGCGAAAATATTTCATATATATATTCATCATGCATCAGATACGTGATCGTACTGAATATTGTAGTTCTTAGAAATAATTAAAGGCCAGTAAAAAGATCTGCTTGTGAGTTTATTATTATTATCATAAATTATATTCATTATTATTATACGTACATGCTTTATTTGAACCAGCTCTTTTCGGCGAGCAAGGTCATTGACTATAGGTGATAGGTCTCGAATAACTATTTCGCGACACAACACGACAACACAAGTCCAGCTCGACACATGACTCAACTATTACAATAATGACTCGAATCAACTCGCTGCTTATCGTTACCTTCCCCAGGACTGGACCGGAGGTTATGTTTCCATCCGTGTTTGTATGTCATGGCTAGAAATCTCGCACAAGATGGCGGACGATTAGTATAATTATGCGCACAAATAACAAAGAACGGTGCAAAGCATGATCCGAGCAATTACAGGCCTATATCTGTGATTCCAACGGTTTCAAAGATTTTTGAGAAAATTATCTTTGACCAACTTAATAAATATTTTAACGACAACAATCTGTTGACCACCTGTCAATCTGGATTTCGGTCATTGCATATAGTACAGTAACAGCGTTGCTGGAGGCTACAAATAGCTGGTCTGTTAATATACTAGATAATGGTCTAATTAATGGGGTTGTTTTCATTGATCTGAAAAAAGCCTTTGATACTATTGATCATCAGATAATTTTACAGAAATTAGAACATTATGGTATCGACCATAATAGTTTAAAATGGTTCGAATCATATCTTACTGGCAGAACACAAAAATGCATGCAAAGTTAATGATCGGCTATCAGGTTCGACGTCAGTAACGTGCGGAATCCCACAAGGGAGTAGTTTGGATCCGTTACTGTTCCTTATCTATTTTAACGACCTGCCAAATTAATTGCCTCCACCACGCCACTCCTAGAATGTTTGCAGACGATACGAATGTAAGCTTTGCAGCCGATTCTCTGGAAGAGCTCCAAAGTGTCATTAATTCTGAATTAGAACGTCTTAAAGGCTGGCTTATTACAAATAAGCTCAGAGTTTATGACAATTGGATCTCGACAGAGAATCAATGCTACTCAAGGTAGTATAACCATTAAGCTTGATGGTAGTGAAATCAACAAAGTCGATACTGTTAAATCCTTAGGAGTACATATTGACAAACACCTTTCTTGGTCAACCCATATAGAGAAAATAACTAAGAAAATTGCTTCAGCCATTGGTGCATTAAAACGAAGCCTTTGTTATAGTGGAGCCGTATTGTGGAATAACCTACCTCAAAATATACGAATGCTTCGTTCGTTACCACTATTTAAGAATTCCTTAAATTATTACTATAATTTGTAAAATGACTCCCGGCCACACGGCAATCTTGGAAATCAGTTGTAATTTTTTTTTTTAAATTTAATTAATGTACTGAAGATTTTACCGTGTTAAAATAAAGTTTTATTGTATTGTATTGTATTGTATTTGACGAAACCAAGATGGCGGGAATACTAAGCCTGTCTACTATATAATTGTAAAATCGATGCGCCGTACCGATTACAGCATGATTTGCAAGGTGCACACGTCTACAAATAATACACAATACCTGAAAATATATCGGTGTATATTTTCGACCCCTCGCGATTTGCCATTATCCGGCGCGACTGAATTCAATTCACAATATTTCCTCACAATATAAGCGTATATTAAACCCAGTAAATCCTTCATATTTGCTGCATTTAGCTCGTTGTAGCCACTGAGCTATAATATTACTGGAGGAGCTGCTCCTATCTTTCCGCCAGTCATTCAAGTGAAGCCAAAAACATGGCGGATCTTACGCCATTACCATGACTACAGGTTCTTATTTCTCATGGTAATTACCACTGACCAACCGCGATCCTACGCTTTAAACAATATCTTTCACCCCCCTGGTTTTTTTCACAAATATGAAATATTTTTGTTTAGTTTGTCTTTGAACTGAAAATCTTGATATTTTTCATCAATTTTGTCTGTTTTACAAAGTCAGGGAA